AAGTGCCCTCTTAGTGCCATATATCAGATACCTGGAAGACTGAGCCACCCTTTAATTTCTTCGTAGTGCCAAATATCACATGCTTTGAAAACAGTCACGCTTTAGTTCGCTCTTCGTGCCACCCATCATCGACCTGAAAATGAAGACCATGAGCAACTTCCTAGGCATTGCACTTAACAGAACTATAAGCTAGTTTATTTTTTTTTTAAATTATTATTTTTTTTTAAATTTTGCAAATGATGTGAAAGACGTGAATGGTCGATTAATAATGTGATGTGATGTGATTATGATTTTTAACGTAGCTTAACAATTTTTCAGTCATATCACTACTATGTCTGCATAGTGGCAGTTTATAGTGATGTCTGGCACTGGGGAATCATGCTGCAGACATGTAGCATCATGACCCACCCTGTCACATTATCCTGACACTAGACCAACCAGTCCTAACACTAGCTTCTTTATGCTGAGTGCCAAGCGAGGCAGCTGTTGGTACCATTTTTGTAAGTCTTTGGTATGACTCGACCGAGGATAGAACCCACTACCTCTCGGATCCCGGGCGGACGCTCTAACCACTAGGTCGATTAATAATAGTAAGAACGTCTGACTGAAAAGGAGAAAGATAAGAAAAGAACCACCTGATTCACAAGGAATTGATGATACCGATGCTTGCAGATGAAAACAAAAGATGGCAATAAGAGAAAACAGGAAGAAAGAATATTAGTTACAAGGAAAAGACTGTACAGATTGAAATTTTCTTTGTTTTACCTCTAACCTCTAACTTTCTTTGATTTGTGTTATTGTGATATCATTATTATTATTATTATTATTATTATTATTATTATTGAAAATGATGTTTGCAGTTTTAGGTGGTAAGTAACCGTTGGTACTGTCCTTATGATTTGACTTGAAATTTAGACAGGTTATGTGGGACAAGGTTTTTTTATTTTGACGCAACAAAATATTACAAATAAAAAGGCAAAAGGTTTTAAGACGGATTTTTTTTACAGCTTTCTAGTTATTTGAAGCATTCCATATTTACTCTTTTACATACCATATCCATCATATATCCTGATGATCTCAACATCCAGTTCGCAGACGACCATCGATTACTGCTTCCAGCTTGATTCAATATTGATAACCAATAACCTTATACAATTTAAATCAGATTTTGTAGACATGCAAAGGATTTCGATAATATTAATATAAAATGATATTCCAATATATGTAGAATTTAAATCTGGAGTGAGACAGAAATGTTACGATCATTAATATTCATTTGAGAGAACTACTTCCTTCCTCGATGTTATTTTCTATTACTGGATGTTTAAATGTATTTGCACTTAACTGGTGAATTAAGCATATTTGTCGTGGAAATGTCTTCGTTTTCTCAAAGTGATGTAGTTCTGTTTCTGACACAATTTAGAGACCTCAAAACCTGAGGAATAATCTACATATATAATGCATAAAGCGAGGGTTCAGAGATAACAGAAAGATAATAAATGTTATGCATTTCTTATAATAGCTAGTTTTGTCAGACAAAATTAAGTTCAGGAATAGACTTGTTATTTAGAACATTAACTATTATAACTATTGGAAGTTGAATCATTGCAGTTTTATCGTACTTAATTTCCTGATAACGAAAGAAAGAAAATTGCAATTGAATTTTGAAGGTAGCTTGATAATTTTAGTTTTTTGTTTATTTATTTATGCTGCGGAAGGTTTGGTTTTCATCAGGAAGGATTTTTGGAATTATGCCTTTAAATCAAAATTGTAAGCAACAAATATATGTGAAATTAAGTACGTCTGATATTTATGGAGAATTAGATAGAAAATCATTATAACTAGGTAGATATATAAGAATTCTGAAAGACTCTAGAAGTAATAAATTCTGAGAAAATTTTGCTCTCAATATAATATTATATGATATTGATACAATTAGTTGAATATCATTTCACAAAATGGATTTCATTATTGATATGCCACATACTTCTGATTCTCCTCAGGTTTGGGGGGAAATTTTTTATTCAATTAATGTTTCTTTTTTTCCCCGTCATATAAAAAAAGAATACATCATATTGAACAAATTAGCCACTTGATATTTAAAGAACTGCTAGTAATTGATTTAAGAAGAAAATGGAGTTTAGTATTTTTGTCTGTGTTGCTGCGTTACAAAATAAAAGCAAAAAGAATAGCATTGCCAGCATTAGTTTATCATCTCAGGCAACATGCAATTAAAGCAGGTAGGCAAAGAAATATAAGTATGGATGTCTATTAAAATTATGTTTATATTTTAATTTTAGAGAAATTTGAAAATGAATTTCATTTAATTTTAATTTTTCCCCATTCTTTAATTGACATCCAATCCAATTACTTCATGTGTATTTCTGGAATTGTATTCGTATGTTTAAACAGATTACGTTTACAAAACAAGCAAACAAACAGAAATGTATAATTTAGAGAAAAAATATTTATGGAACAACTATGATAAGGAGTGGTGATACCATAATTTTAATTATGTATTGTTCTTATTCCTTTTTTATGATTTACATGTAACATGATTACAAACTATAAAATTGTAAATACCAAACAGACGATAAGCTTACGTAACCAAGAGTGGGACGGGAAGGAGCGTGGGGCATTGGGATAATGTAAAAAGAGTGGGAAACAACCATAACGTTTCCTCGTGTACGTTCTTTTACAGTTAGATCGTTACAATTATGCCATGGCAACGCTAAACATGCAGAGGCTATTGGGAGGTTTGTCTTGTTGGCCTCAACCAGGGATTCCATCTCACAGACTCCTTCGCCAATTGTTTACGTTCGCCTTTAAACGATATTCCTGGACCAGTCCTAAGTTTCTCAACCAATCTGATTCCGGTTTTGATCATAATAGTCCTTAAGATTTGGTTGGGTTTTTGATTGATTTGATTTCTTGATGGACAATGGGGGCTTTGGGCTATGAGTAAGTGTCATGGAAACCAGATATGTTTTTATTTTGCCTCCAATGCTACAGACGTACTTTTGGAAAAGAAATTGCTCGCTTGATATGAATTTCCTTAATGTTTTGAGATTTGCCAAGATTATTTGCTATATCATACCATTGTTGATGCTTACACGACATGTCCAACATGTCACTACGACTACAAACATTATTAATGATTGATCTATCAATAAATTAGGTGATTTGCATCTCCTGATCTTCTGCTAAAATTATAAAGAATATATTGCGATACTCATAATACATCTATACTGGAAAAAAATACAGAAATACAAAATATTGTTAATTTTATTATGATGAAAGGAATTAAGATTTTAATGAAATAACAATGTCAACTAATCAAATGACTAAAAAGAATAATGTAAGTGCATTCTAAAAGTCAGAAATAATTTAAAATATCTCATTCTTTCTCTTGAAAAGGAATTCGTATTTATTAAATTTTGTCTTGTCCATTCGTGTTTGCACATGTTACAAGTTTTAATATAAATATTTTATTGATATTGCTGTAAGTTCCTATCAGAAAGATCAAATTTTCATTAAATATGTACATCTGTGCTGGCTTTATCTGCTCAAGTTAATTGTCTGAGATAAAGAAATACCTCACACAAGGTACATGATTCATTCATGGGGCCATCTGGTGTAAGTAAGATATTTCTGAGACTTGTTCATATTTTGAGTCATATAAAAATACGGCTGATTAGGTCTCTCAAAATTTTCTCTCGAACCTTATGAATACATGACAACTATAACTTACTCGCTTCCAAGGCCACGTGTTCTTCGTTTGTTTTGTTTCTAGACCTGACAACCTATTTCAGTACGAGAACCTTAAATTTTACAGATTATTATAATCTAGTTTTGTAAACGTAAAATAAGTTTTTTCGAATATTCCACAAGATAAGTGATGTGAATACTAAACCATTATACCATGTTTTTATGCCCACAAATAATGAAAATCCCATTAATGGTCATTAATTTAAAATATATAATTATCTCCTTTTTAAAATGAAAATGAGTCTTTTTTGAGGAGCTTTACAAGGGGTTGCCATTAAAAGGTACGATCTGCTATGTACATGAGAAAACTTAAACATAATTCGGTTTATATATGACACTTTGATGCCTATGTTCTTTGTATTTGGTACACAGCCTAAATCGTGTATGCGGAGTTCCATTTATCAACTGTTCAATCCTTACCTATTATCTTTAGGCTGTTTGAATTTTATATAATTCAGTTTAATTTTATCAAGAAATGTTTGTCTTCAAAATGATTTATGCAAATTTGCTTTAACGTTTCCAGTTTTACTTTACTCATCACTATATATCCTGAATTGTGCTTATGTGCATTTAAACCTGAACATTCTTTACAGGCTTTTATACTTGAACTACTCTAACTCCTACTGCTCAAAAATACAAAAACAAAACAGCGTACATAACAAAAAGCATATAGCGTACACTGGGCAACATAAATCCTTGGCAAGGATCACAGAAATTAAGTAAACTCCGGATCCAGCCTGGGATGAGGAGTCTATTTCATAAAAGAATAGGAATGGTGTAGAAACCCTAACTCAAAATTTAAAACAAAATGAATTTTTTTAAAAATAATACAAATAGCACACACGCCTAAAAACCCAATGACATATAAAAACCTTTAAACTTTTGGAACTAGAGGTCCCTCAGATGATGAAACTTCTGAAAGGGACCACACCAATAAAACTCCTACAGTTACCACTGCCACGTCTAGTTGCTATAATGAGAAAAAAGGACTTCAACGGAAATTCAATAAAGTAGCTACCAGGATGATTGGTGTAATTGTGTTTGGTTGCACTTGTTGCTACAACTTTACGATGGTGTTAATATTGTAAACAATTGTGCTGATTGTTATTCCAAATAACATTGCTTCATAGCTTCTCTCTCTCTCTCTCTCTCTCTCTCTCTCTCTCTCTCTCTCTCTCTCTCTCTCTCTCTCTCTCTCTCTCTCTCTCTCTCTCTCTCTCTCTCTCTCTCTCTCCCCAGTGGCCTAGTGGTCAGAGCATCCGCCTCGGATGCTGGAGGTTGTGGGTTCTATCCCCGGCTGAGTCATACCAAAGACTTAAAAATTGGTACTAATAGCTTCCTCGCTTGGTGCTCAGCATTAAGAGGTTAGTGTTATGACTGGTAAGGCTGGTATCAGAAGAATGTGACTGCGTGGGACATCATACTTCATGTCTGCGGCATAATGCCCAAGTGCTAGACATCGCTATAAACTGCAACGCTGCAGACATCATCACTATATGACTGAAAAATTGTTCAAGCTACGTTAAAAATCTAAATCACACTCTCTCTCTCTCTCTCTCTCTCTCTCTCTCTCTCTCTCTCTCTCTCTCTCTCTCTCTCTCTCTCTCTCTCTCTCTCTCTCTCTCCTCGATTCTATTATATATATATATATATATATATATATATATATATATATATATATATATATATATATTTATATGTATATATATATGTATGTATGTATGTATTAAATCTACCCAAATATTTGCTGACAAGCTTAATTTTCCGGACTTTTCTAAAACGGTTTTCTCTCTTCGAGAAATTGTCAACAACAAATTTATTTTAATTTGGAACGCTAGTTTACGTCTTTTGATTACTGTAAGGGATATTTTTTAGGGAAATTAGTATTATACATTTTAATGTCAGATCATGAAGGAATAAAGTTATAGCTGAAAAACAAGTTTTGAATTAAATGTAGATAGAATATTCAAAAAGACTTATTTAATATAACCTGAACATTGTTAGGAAAAAGAAAAAAAAAGCTTGGGACACAATATAGAAATACGAATTAAATAAAGGAAAACCAACAAAAAATATTTCTGCCGATGACTCTAGTTTTCTGTCTCTTTGGTTCGAGACAAATTAAATCTCTTCTTCGACAGGAATTGCACGGTACCGTCTGTCACTCGCATGCAATAACGGCCTGTCATCCATGCAATTCAATCACGGTTGATAACTGTAGTTTGGTATGGCATTGACAGGAGAACAATAAAGAGTGGAATAGATATCGTCCAATTATGTAAAAACACTTTCTCTGAAATTGATAGATTCGCCCTTCCAAAATGGAAGGTTGCCCAAATGGCTGTTTTAATGGTCTAATGTTCCCAAAGTGCAATCGCTTGAAAGCACTGCCAAATGTTTTCGCGAACATACGAATCAAGGAATCTCTTTACTGGGTCTGGTTAAATTGTATGTTAGTGCAATAGCATATACGAATGTGTGCGACAACATTTGCTCGAGGTATTTTAATAAAAAAGATTTATTTTATTTTGTGTTTTATTTATCAACTGTGAGGAGATTAAAATATGTAATTACTAGATTACATAACACTCGAAACAAATGGTGATTTTGTTGTAATCCGTGTTTCATTATGTTACATGTATGAAAAACCTAATTTCCTTGAAAGAAAAAATGATGTTAATAGATTGGACGCAAATGAATTTTCTGTTTTCGAGTGATGACTTTTTTAAATTTAATAATAATAATAATAATAATAATAATAATAATAATAATAATAATAATAATAATAATAATAATAATAATAATAATAATAATATTATTTATTTTAATAGTAATAATAATATTAATAATTATAATAATAATAATAATTATAATAATAATAATAATAATTATAATAATAATAATATTTATTATTATTATTGTTATTATTATTATTACTATTATTATTATTATTATTCGTAGTAGTAGTAGTAGTAGTAGCAGTAGTAGTAGTAGCAGTAGTAGTAGTAGTAGTAGTAGTAGTAGTAGTAGTAGTAGTGACAAAGATATTTGGTTGTTGTTGTTGTTCTACGTTTTCTTCGTAGTCTTTTTTGGTGTCTTTAATTCTTGCTGTTCATTTTTTTGTTTGTTTTTCTTCTTTTTCTTCCATGACTTTCTGTTTACTCTTGTTAGGAGGAACTGTTAGCCATCTTCAAGGTTTGATTGTAAACAGGCTAATGTTTAAAGGTCGATGAACTTGATTTTATTTTCGGCCCTGTCAAGGGTCCAGCGATGCTTACAAAGGGGCCTATCAAGGGTCCAGCGATGTTTACAAACGGACCCTGTCAATGGTAAAGCGATGCTTACAAACGGACTCTGTCACGGACGGGTCCAGCGATGCTAACAAATGGGCCCTGCCAAAGGTCCAGCGATTCTTACAAACGGGCACTGTCAAGAGTCCAGCGATGCTTGCAAACGGGACTTGTGAAGGGTCCAGCGATGCTTACAAAAGGAACCCTGTCAAGAGTCCAGCAATGCTTATAAACGGGTCCTGTCATGGGTAAGCGATGCTTACAAACGGGCCCTGTGAAGGGTCCAGCGATGCTTTCAACCGGACACAATTCTTAAAATACAAAATTGTTCTGTAATTTGATAACAATTAAACAAATGATTTTTTGCACACCATAACTAATGAGACCCCTTCCAAAAAATGAGCGAAATGTTCCATGAAGCATGCGAGACTTATAACGTTGAAAGGGTGAAAATAATCAGAGTATAATTTAGAATCTTTTTATTGGTTCCAGTCATCTCCTCTACCCACTGTAATTACGCTAGATATATACTTAGTTGTGAGAAGAAAGAAAAAAAAAACATTACCTATAATACCAGTCCTCATAACTACACACTTTGCTAATTATTCATCTATCTACGGGATTCATTTATTTTCAACTGATCTCATGTGGGATGAACACGATAATTGTAGTTATGACAGGACTAAATGTGTGTGTGTGTGTGTGTGTGTGTGTGTGTGTGTGTGTGTGTGTGTGAGTGAGAAAGATAGATTTAACGTAACTTTTAGCATTTGTTAGTCATATCGCTGCTCCTTCTACAATGTGACATTTTATAGTGATGTCTAGCACTGGGACATATTGAATGATGTCTCACCCAGTCACATTATCCTGACACCAGGCCCACCAGTCCTAACTCGAACCTATTAACGATGAGCACCAAGCGAGGCAGCTGTTAGTACCATTTTTGAAAGACTTTTGTATGACTCGGCTAGGGATCGAACCCACAACCTCCCGCATCCGAGGCGGTCGCTCTAACAACTAGGCCACCATAGCGGTGCAAGACTCGATGAATTAAATATATAACTCTCAATCATAAAATTACTATTTATGTATTTTGTAATATCTCAAAAGTTGGCAAGAATAAAGATCAATGCAGCTTCGCAAAGTTTGCTCGTTCAGGTGGGCTTTTTTACTTCGATTATTTCATTATCGCTTTTACACTTGTTATAGTGTATAGGATATGAACCATCTAAAAGCTAAGATTTTTCCCTTAATGTTCCTTGTCTGTTGCAAATAATTCAATTTAGATTCTTTCATTGTAGCTCATTAATTAAATTAAGCATGTCCTTATGCTACAGGACGATGGAATTGTTACGTGTTATGCTCGTACAAAAATATAGCAAGCGTTATATATTTTAATATATAATTTATTTCTATAGGAAACAATGTAAAAATAGAAAATATGACTTTTGAAAATTATCCAAAAATGCATCATGGAATAGAAAAATATAAGTTTTATCACTAACAGTTCTAATTGAATCCAGGTTTTAATTTCTATGAAATTCCAATATGGAAGGCGATAACATCAGATGATGTCTGAACTAATGGTAACAGATCCTCGATTGAATCACGGTATATAATGTTTACGTATAGAATTCCAGAATTAATTTCCACTGGATTTCTTTGTACAAGACTTTGGTGAAGAAGCACGTTTTTCCATACAATATAAATCATTCTTAAATAACAAATAACTCAAAATGGCAATAACACAAAATACTTCTGAACTCCTCAAAAGTAGTTTTCACGCCTAAAAAATTAATACCAATTTGCTGTTTTAAGCCTGATTTTAGATCACATGATGCTTCACGTGATGGCTAAGTGATTTACTAATTTGAATATCTCAATAAAAATGTCATTTGTCAGGTAGCTTAGAATAGTCATATCTAAAAATTAAGTTTCTCACGTTAGAAATGAATTTAAAAAAAAACAACTTGTTTACACATCGGTGACACCTGGGCCTGACCTGGCCTCGGAAATAGCAAATCATTTCCACTTAGTGTTTACGAATTTGCGAACCAAGGTCGGGTAAAAATAATGATAAAGTAACTATTACGTTCCAATTAGGTAAAGTGAATTTTCTGAAAAGATATTCAAATCCAATGGAAATTATCACTACAATAAAATATAATGAAACAAAAATAACATAAAAAATTAATTAAAAACTAATACAAAAGCAATTTAATTGCATATTCGTAACAATAGATATTCATTAGAAAATAAAAATAAAACAATACGAAAGTGAAAGACTTCAAATTTACATTGAATATAGCTACTAGACTATGGTATTTTAACGTGTCTGAAAGATTAGTAATAAGCTCCATCTGTCATGGGGAAAAAACATTCAAATTCTCGGTATAATTAGGAAAAACAATAGCGATTTAAAAAGCAATGTTTGTTATTAGACGTGTCCTTCGCAGGTCCAATTTATGTCGGATCCTCTACTATTACCTATATATGTTTGAACAAATTGTAAACAACACTTTAAAAGCAGAAGAATTACTGACAGATGAAGTAAAAATAAATTTAAATAGTCATTTGTCTAGATTGTTTACAGGACTGAAGTGAAAAAGCATGCAATACAAATGGCTGGAAAACAACCCGAAGACAATGTGTTGAATGTGAGCCTGCCTAAGATACGTATTATACACAGATTTATAGTACTATGATTACCACTAGTACTACGGCTGTAGCCAGATTTCCTCTTCCAGAAGAAGGCTATTTCAGTATAGTTTTGGATGACTTCCTGTCGTCTCCGCAAGAGTTTTGTATGCGACAGTAGTACTAATATCATTTCCTTTTCCATCACTAACATTGCTGACTGATTTCAGAACGAAACAAAACAAAGGGTTGCAAACATTTTTGCTGACCAAGAAAGAGATACAAAGTATTTATTAAACAACAATAACAGTAACAGGAAGTAGAAAATGTTTGAAGAAGAGAAGTGAAAAAGCTTAAGAAGAAAACGGCAGAAGGAAA